CTATTCCAACAACAGAATTGCCCCCGTGGGTCTCCCATACTGTAAATCTTCACATGAGCGGGAAGCCTGATTTTCTCCTACTGGAGAGCGGCTGGTGGGTTTGAACTGCTGGCCCTGTGATTAGCAGCCCTACTTAGGTGTAACCCACTGTGCCTCCTCTCTTAGAAACACCATAAGTTCAGAGCATCAATGGTTGTGTGGGAGGAGTAGCTAGGACACCACCCCACCCCCCCCAGCAGCCTGGAAGCAGTCCCCACCATGGGGCACCCCAGGCACCGCCACCTTCCCGCTGCCCCCCTTGTAACTGCAGTCTCCCTTTCTAGGAAGAAAAGCCACCGATGAGCTTCCAGGCCACCCCAGACAAGGGCCTCTCTCTCTGCCCAACTTCTTCCTCCCTCATTAGTATGAAGACTCCAAATGTGACTCCACTTGGCGCCAGAGGCTTTTAAAAAAAGGTGACTCCCTCCTCCCCGGGAACGCTCTGTGCTGGGAGACAAATGGCAGTCCATCTGGGCTTCCATACAACCCCCACCTTGTCACCCCCAGCGTGGGTGGGTCCCCCTGCCCCAGAGGGCACTGTTTGGCATCATGAGACACGGGATTTTTAAAACAACTTTCAAAAAAGAAACTTTTCAGATCTCCTGTAACATTAAAGGAAAAATCAACACAGCCCCAAGCGATGGTGTGCTGGCAGTTGGTCAGTTGCCAACCCTCTAAAGGGAGGACCTGATCCTGACCTTGACATTGGCCGTGGTGTAAATACTGCACCACATCAACCGATGCAAGCCCTAGGCCAGGAGTGGGGTACTTTCTTATGCTGGTTCCAGGGCGAGGCGGGAGAGCATCACCAGCCACTGAGGAGCTTGGCGTATTTGCTCCTGTGTTGTTAATAACAATTGACTTAACTCAAAGTTTTTATATGAGGGGTACCAAAAAAAATCAGAATTCCCACCCCCCAAAAAAAAACTATGTACGGTATTTAATATTTTTACTAAACAACCTATCACCTTCAAAGTACTCTCCATGGCACATAGACATTTGTCAAATCTGTGATTCCATTCTTGGAAACATTTTTCAAACTCATCTGTCTGGATGAGTTAAGTGGCTGACGGCACCTCCCTCATTTTTTTCTACACCTTCTATGTCGTCAAATTGCTGTCCTTTCACGTCTCTCTTCATTCACGGAAACAAGAAAAGTCAGGTGAGTAAGGTGCATGGGGCAAGAGGGCATGCTGGTTTTTGTTTTTTGGGTTTTGTTTTTTTTTGCCAAAAAAACACGCATTAAGATGGCTGTGTGAGCAGGTGCATTGTCGTGGTGGCAAAAGCAGTTCCCTGTCTGCCACAAAGCAGTCCCTTTTTGTCACACTGTTATGCAATCTTCAGAACCTCTAAATAGAAAACTTGTTTTAACAGTCTGACCTGGTGGAATGAACTCCCAAGTGCACCATCACCCTCACATGAAAAAATAATGAGCATCATCTTGATCTTTGATTTCACTTGATAGCTTTTTTCGGGCTAGATGACAATGGCATCTTCTCCTGGCTTGATTGACGTTTGCTCTCCGGGTTGTAAGAATAGCACCATGTCTCCTCACCAGTAATGACCTTGGGGAAAAAATCTGGGTCTCTTCTGAGCTGTTCTCCGAAAGCAGAGCATGGTTCCAGTTGACGCTCTTTTTCCCGGTCAGTCAGAACCCGAGGCACAAATTTCACCACGACCGTTCTCATTCCCAAATCTTCTGTTAAGATTCGCTGAACCAAGCTCCGAGATAGTCCAGATAACTTCCCCATCTCTTCAGTGGTCCGTTATTGGTCTTCGAGCATAAGTGCACGAGTTTTGTCAGCATTTTCGTCCCTCCGGGAAGTTGATGGACATCGAGAACTAGCTTTGTCATCAGTTGACATTTCACCTTTTTTGTAATGAGAAAACCACTCGTCCAGTTAAGTTTTCCCCAGGGCACCGTCCCTGTAAGCTGGGTTCAACATCCCAGCAGTGTCTGCAGCATTTTCCTGACCGGGAATAAAAACGTCACGGCTGCACGCCGTTCTCTTCAATCAGCCATCACAAAATCGAGGTTCGCGTGTAACTGCTTTTATGAAAGAACTCAGTGTGACCAGACAGAACCTTCCCAGGTGACGCCACTAGGAGCACTAAGAGCGAGTTGCTAGATGCTCGCCTAGCAGCGGAAATGAGTCCTAAGAGAGCCCCGCCCAGCAGAGCTTTATTCCAGTTTTTTTTGGGGGGTGGTACCTCCTTGTAAGTCCTTGGGTGGTCGAGCTGTGAGTTACTCATTGGGCCAATAACTGCAGGGTCAGCAGTTTGAGTCCACCAGCCAGTCCCACGGAGGAAGATGAGGCTGTTTGTTCCCATAAAATAGCACAGCTTCGTAAACTAGGGAGCGGAGCAGGTCTACTCTGCCCTGTAGGGTTGCTGTGAGCCCTGGTGGCGTAGTGGTTAAGCATTTGATCACTAACTGCAAGGGAGGCAGTTCTAAACACACAGCCAAGGCTTTCTCAGTAAAGAGTCTCAGCCTTGGCAGCCACAGAGGCAGTTCTACCCTGTCGGTCACTGTGAGTCAGCATGGAGTCAAGGGCAGTGAGTTTGGGGCTTAGGGCTTGGGTAGGGCTGTTTCACATCAGAGGTGACACAAATGGTTAACACAGATGTCTGTTGGTGGACCCAAATGGTTAACGGGCTGAGCTGCAACCCCGTAAAACCAAACTGTTGGTGGATGGGGTCCAGCCAGAGGTGCCTCAGAAGAGAAATCAAAACCAAACTCACAGCAGGTAGGTCATCGACGAAACCCAACACTCCTCTGTCCCTTGGGGCTTACTCACCCTCCACTGTCATGACCTCAGTCCTGCCTCCCACTGCCGGCCAGACCGGAACCTGTGCATTGGTACCAATAAGAGTTCCAGGTCAGCTAAACCCCTCAGGAACAGTAATGGGAGTATCGATACCAGGAGGGTAGGGGTAAGGGTTAAGGAAGGGGGGAACCCGATGGCAATGATGGCCACATAACCACCACCACCTCCAGGGAGACAGTGTAAGAGGTGAAAGTAATAATTCATCATTTATCAAGGGGTCACGAGGGTGGGAGGGGGTCAGGGAGGGGAAAAAGGGGCTTCTCCCAAGGGCTCAAATAGAAAGTTAATAATGATGGCAACATATATACAAGTAGGGTTCATACAATTGATGTATGGATTGTTATAAGAGATGTAAGAGTCCCCAATAAAATGATCCTTCAAAGAAAAACAAATCAGGGTGGAACTGACCCCGTGGGTTCCCAAGACTGGAACTCCACCCTGATGGAAAGCCCCATCGTTCTCCCTCGGAGCGGCGGGTGGTTTTCAACTGCTGACCTTGCAGTTAGCAGCCAGTGTGTAGCCACCGCCCCAACAGAACTAACTGCTGCCTTGGGCAGGAGGCCCGTGCCAACCTTCTCCCAAGCAAGGTCTTGTCCTGCTCCACACTACCCTCCTACCGCCCTCGGCCCCCACTCCAGAGAGACTGCTGCTGGGCTCTGGTTTTCCTGTTTTAACTTTTTTTTTTTTAATTATTTGATTGGAGGCTCATACAGCTCTTATCACCATCCATGGTGTCAAGCACATTTATACATTTGTTGCCTTCATTCTCAAAACATTTTCTTTCTACTTGAGCTCTTGGTATCAGCTCATTTTCCCCACCTCCCTCCGGAACCCTTGATAATTTATAAATTGTTATTTTTTCATGTCTTACACTGACTGATATCTCCCTTCACCCACTCTTCTGTTGTCTGTCCCTCAGAGAGGGGGTTATAGGTCAATCACTGTGATCAGTTCTCCCTTTGTCCCCCCACCATCCCCTTACCCTCCTGGTATCACTACTCTCATAATTGGTCCTGAGTGTTTTGAACTTTTTTTTTTTAATCATTTTATTGGGGCTCATACAACTCTTATCACAATCCATACATATCCCCTTATAAAACGATTATAAAAAGGGGGGGGTTAAAAAAAACAATCCATACATACATCAATTGTGTAAAGCAACTTACACATTCGTGGCCCTCATCATTCTCAAAATTCGCTTTCTGCTTGGGTTCCTGGAATCAGCTCCTCATTTTCCTTGTCCCCCTCCCCCCCTCCCCGTTCCTGCCTCCCTCATGAACCCTTAATAATTTATAATTATGATTTTATTTGAACTTTTTTATAATTCATGTTTTAATGTGAAAAAGACTGTCGTGGGAAGGAAATTACTTTTCCGACAATTACATGTATGGGAGGGTGTCTTTCTAAGGCGCACGGAGCACCCCATTCCAGCTCGTACTTCTATTGTGGATTTTCAGGGTATTTTAAATGGACGTCCCATTCCCTTGTCCTACAAGTCAATGGTTCTAGCATCTTAGGAAGAGTTAGTGGTGCTATAATAGCGTTTTCAGTGCCGGCTTACCAAAGCAAACACCCATCAGTGGGTCCTCAGGGGCAGAGCCAGCTCCGGCACACCAGACTTCCCTGACCTGCTGCCCCTCCCTCCCCTCCGGCCAACCTCTTACCCCTCTGGGTGTTGTGGCAGGGCACCCTTATATTCTTGGGGTGACGCCAGCTCTCTGAGGAACTGCCAGAATCAGGACCCCACCTCCCCACCCTCAGGAGCCTTGTGTTTACCGACCACCCCGCCTCGGTGTGCTCCACTCGTCACCACCTGAAACACCAGGGATTCACCCAGACACCCCACCACCACCACCCCCAAAGAGCTCCGAGGACAGGTAACAGGACCAAGAGAGCCACTCTGTGAGGCTCCAGCCCCCAACCCACGGAACCAAAGTTCACACCTCATGACAAAGACATCCCCAGTCATGCACATGCGCACCTACGTGGCTCTTAATGGAATTTTTACTTCACCCAACCATTAAAGGAAAAAGAAAAGATGTTAGGAATTTTAACCGTTGATTTAATAAGGGATGGCTGCCATTGGAATGAACAGCAGTGCTCTTTAGGGCGTAGCTTTTATGGGAGAAGTTGGCAAATCCTGGCCCTCCCCACTTCTGGTGTGTGTGTGCGCAAATAAAGTTTTATTAGAACACAGCTGCTTTCGTTCATTCGCCATCCCATGCCCCACTCCAGGGCGGAGGGTCACCATTGCTACGGGGAACATGGTGGCCCCGAAAAGCTCCCCAGGCGGACAGGGAGAGTTTGCGGATCAGCCTTGGTGCTGGCGAACCAGCCTGAAGGACTGACCTCTGGAATGGAGGATGTCTGGAACGTGCTTTGAAATAGGGCCAAACGGGAGAGGGTGGGGGTGGGTGAGTGGATGAGGAGGCCTGCTGGACAAGAGGGCCCTCAAACCACCCTCCAGGCCTCTGCTCTCAGACGTGTTGGACGGGGGCGTGAGAAAGGGCTCTGCCACAAAGCAGCTGGCTTCCCAGAATGCCTCAGGCTCTGGGCCCTTAGAAGTGTCCGAGGGTGCCAGGAGCTGCAATTTCTCACACCACAAAGACCCAGGCTGCACGGTGTCCGGCGAGCCCAGGAGGCGCTTTTCCCAGCAGCAGCAGCAGCGGCTTGCTCCTTGCCCCTGTGTCCTGCTTCCCAGGACTCCCCCCAAGAGCCGAAGCTTGTTCCTCCTGCCCGTGAAGATGTCACAGAAGGCAGTCTGGGCCACTCCACGTGAGTGACGGCCGTCCTTTCAGTAGGAACCCTGGTAGTGTAGCAGATTATATTTGAACTGCGGGACACAAGGTCAGTGGTTCTGGGCCACCTGTCGCTCCTAGGGAGAATGATGAGGCTGTCTGCCTTCATAACGATCTACAGTCTGGGACACCCACAGGAGCGGTTCCTTTCTGTCCTGTGGGGTCACGATGAGTCAGAACCGAGTCCGGTGGCAGGGAGGGGTTATTGTTGCCGTTGAAATTGTGGTTTTGAAGTGCTAACAAAGCTGTTTTAAAAAGAAAGAAAAAAATGATGGCTGGGTATATGCTGGGCTGTGGAGGTTGCCAGCAGAAATAAATTTCAAGAATAAAAAGTGTGATAAAAATAATTTCAACATATAACTGCCTCCCAGAGGAACAGACAGCAGAAAAGTGGATGAAGGGAGACAAGAAGTTAGTGGAAGACATAAAAATAATAATTTATAGATGATGAGGGTTTCATGGGGAGGAGGTGAATGACCTGATACCAAGGGCTCAAGTAGAAAGAAAATATTTTGAGAATGATTGTTGCACCATTTGTACAAATAGAATATGCTTGACACAATGGATAGATTCTGGTAAGAGCCCCCAATAAAATGATTAAAAAATAATTTTTAAAAAAATCTTGCAAAGAGGTGGGGTGGGAGGGTCCGCCCTACCAGGTCACCAACTGCTCTACCCCACCCCCAGGACCCTGGCACCTCTGGTCTGACAAGGGGACCTGGACAGAGCCTCCCCGCAACGATGACATCTGTCCCAGGCTGACATGGGCGCAGCGAGGGCACCTCCGAGCCAGCCATGCAGTGAGTGTCCCCCTGGGACCATACCATTTAAGTCTCTGTACCCTGCTCGGCCGCCCCCGCCAATGTGCAGCCCCCTTTCAGGGCATCTCCAGGGTGGGCCTGGCCCTACTCTGAGACCAGTGAGCGTCCCGTACCGCTCTGGGACGTGTGTGTGAGTACGAGGTGGCTTGTGGAGAAATCATCTTCCCATTCCCATTTCACACCATCTCGTTAAAGTCCCCTCAGAGAAACAGCGTATGACTCTGGTGGCCCCCCGGTGAAGAGCTCATCCGTTGGCAGTGCAAACCCACCCAGTAGCTTAGAAGGGGACCACAGGAGAGCTGTAGAGAAGGACAGCTGGGGAGGGCGGGGGTGGGGAGGTGGGGGGTGCAGTTCTTAGTCACATGGCTGGCCACTGAGCGGCAGGGGTTGAGGTGAGACCACAGGCTTGAGTTTCCAAAAGAGCCTGGAGAAATGGAATTCGGGTCTGTAGCCCAAGCCCAGTGCTCAGCACACCCCCCTGATGCCCCTGGGAGACCCCCATCAACTGGCACTGGCCGACCCCCGAGGCAAACCAGATGGTAGGGCTCTTGCTCCCTCCATGGCCATTCCGGGACACCCCGCTCCCCTGCCCTGACACCTGGGACAAGCCCTCCCCATCTCTGGGAAGCCTTTGTGTTCTCTGAGCCATCATTGGGCTGGCCACTAGTCCTCTTCTAGCCTCAGTTTCCCCGCCTGGTCAGTGGGCGCAGCATGGGGGCTCCTAAGGATGCCCAGCCCAGGCAGCCTCTAGGCCGGAGGACGCTAACCCTCACTTTCCTGTTTGTTTCTCAGCTCCATTCTTTTTCTCAGACACGCACCCACGGGACACCACCACAACCCGCCCCCTCAGCCCGGTCCAGCTTCAAGACGGATTTCCCCTTCTTCCTTGTAATAACCGCTGTGGTTCCAGAGAAGACTTGCCACCGCCACCACCACCCCTGCACTTGGCTTCCGCCCAGCCCCTCACCCCAGCTCTCCTCCAACAGCCCCTCACCTTGACACCCCCCACCAGCTCCCCTAAGTTCTGGATGCTGTGAGGCTCTGCTGCCCCAGGTGGGGTCTCCAGAGATCAGGGCCCCCTTGTTCTTGCTGCCCCTCCACTGAGGGGGAAAAAACCCCTTGCGGGGAGGCCAAGGGGCCCTGGGAGAGCCCCCCCATGACCTGCAGGGAGACATAGCTCCCGAGTTTCATAAGGCCAGGGGAAAGTGCCCATGAAGATGCCAGCCTCAGAGACCAAGGCTCTGTCTCTCCTCCCAGCTGGCAGGCGACTCACACCGGACCTCTTAGCACCCGCACCCCTGCTCGCTGGCCCTGAGCCCACGCCTTTAGCACTGGGCCCCACTGCCTCCATTTCACGGAAGGGGACACTGAGGCTCAGGGCGTGGGCTCAGGCCCCAATGAGGGTCTCAGAGAAGACTGCAGCTAGCCTCACAGGCCCCCCACATCCCCACTTCCTGGAGTCGGGGGTGGGGGGAGCCAAGAGCTTCTGAGCACCTGGGCACCTGATCACCGCCCACCCCCGGGGGCTATTTGGGGCCAGAGAAGAAAATAGACTGGTTTCTTTCCACCGACCCCTCTCGAGCCCACCACCACCACCCCCAAAGAGCTCCGAGGACAGGTAACAGGACCAAGAGAGCCACTCTGTGAGGCTCCAGCCCC